AATATATATATATATATAGAAATTTACAGACATTGATATTTATGAGGTCCTTTTCCCGAATTGTTGCTAGTGTTTTTTTTGCTTTCTTTTATGCTTTCTTTAAGTTTTGTGTTCATTAACTTTTTTTCCCTCTTGAAATGCTGTGAATTATTATGGAGCAATAGCAGTGAAGAATAAGCAGGAAACAAGACAGGCATTGAAATGTGGAAAAAGAGAGGTAGAGAAAGTTAGGTACTTATTAAAGATTGACAGTATCTTTTTAAACAAGAACATCTTTTTTTTTTTTTAAGAAATGATCTATTTATTTATTTGAAAGGCAAAGTTACAGAGACACAGAGAGAGAATCTTCTATCTGCTGGTTCACTCCCCAAATGGCCACAATGACCGGGGCTGGGCCAGGTGGAAGCCAGGAGCCACGAGCTTCTTATAGGGCTCACATGCGGATGGTAGGGGCCCAAGGACTTGGGTCATCTTCCACTGCTTTCCTAGATATATTAGCAGGGAGCTGCATTGGAAGCAGAGGAAGCCAGGACATGAACCATGTCCATATGGGATGCCAGCACTGCAGGCAGAGGCTTAACCTGCTGTACCATGGTGCTGGCCCCTTTTTGTCTTTTCAAATGTTTATTTATTTGAAAGAGAGAGATAGAAATCTTCCATCCACTGATTTACTCCCCAAATGCATACATCAGCCAGGGCTGGACCAGGCTGAAGCCAGGAGCAAGGAACTCCATGTTGGTCTCTTACGTGGGTGGCAAGAACCCAAGTACTTGGGCCATCATCTGCTGCTTCCCAGGTAAATTAGCAGGAAGTTGAATTGGAAGTGAAGTCATCTGGACTCCAACTGGCACTCTGATATGGGATGTGGGCATCCGAAGCAGTGACTTAACCCACTGTGCCACAGTTCCCACCCTACCAATACATCTTTTTTTAAAAAAGATTTATTTATTTATTTGAAAGAGAGAGAGAGAGAGGTCTTCCATCCTCTGGTTCACTCTCCAGTTGGCCGCAATGGCTGGAGCTGCGCCGATCTGCCAGGAGCCAGGAGCTTCTTCTGGGTCTCCCACGTGGGTGCAGGGGCCCAAGGACTTGGGCCATCTTCTACTGCTTTCCCAGGCCATTTTTTTGCTTTGCTTTGCTTTCTTTGCATTTGCCTAGTGATGCTCTGATGCTTAGAAATGCAAATGCATTTCTGGCCCAAATGCAAGCAGACTGTTCCCTCCAGTGGGCTGAGTCTCTCTCTGGTTCTCTTCCCTCTGACATGTTTCTCTGCTGTGATTCAGGAAGTATTCAAGTCTGTCCCTAAGAAATTAGATGTCTCCATGTCCCCCATTTTCTGCTTTTATCTCCATGGTATGACATGGCTCTGAAACCATGAATACTTAGTTAAGTATTTCAAACCAAGAAATAATTGCTCCTTTTCTTCCCAGAATTTTGGGTATCTTTCTTAATTTTTCCAAAACTCTAGAATGTGCTTCATCTCAACTTGAAGCCAATGATATCACATTGTACATAAGGATTCCAGAAATCTTCACAACAGCAAGTTAAAGGCTTGTGTTCCAGATGATCATCGTGCACTCTAGTGAGCTCTGCTAGTCTCCCCTAGAGTGCTATCATTATCCTGTCAGAGCAAAATGTGATACAGAACAACTCCCCCAAAACTGGCTGGAGCAGTTGCCATAGAATGCCCCAAACTGGGTTGCACATCTGATGAACAGAAAGCCAATCACTGACAAGGGTTTGGTGGAAAAAAGGAGTTTATTGCAATGCAGAGAACGAGGAGCCAGGCAGTTAACTGTTTAATTCCCGGCCTCCTTGAGGGATTAGGTGTAGAGGTTCTTATGGATTGGGTTGGAATGAGAGATGCATATTCAGCATGGGCCCCAGTTCCCGATTCGTCAGTGGTACTCATGACCTTCCTTTATTGGTCAGCAATACTGTATTCTTTATGATGGAAAAAGGGGCTTTAGTCAGTCTGGGAGCTATAGGCAGGTGGTAGTTACTTCCTGTCCTGAGTCTGGAATTCCCCTGAAAAGAAACCTCTTTGAGACAATACCCACCATCAAGATGTTATTGGTGGGGCCTGTGCTGTGGTGTAGCGGGTAAAGCCGCCACCTGCAGTGCCAGCATTCCATATGGGCGCCAGTTCGAGTCCCAGCTGCTCCACTTCCAATCCAGCTCCCTGCTGGATTGTTGAGATGAGGCACATTCTAGAGTTTTGGAAAAATTAAGAAAGATACCCAAAATTCTGGGAAGAAAAGGAGCAATTATTTCTTGGTTTGAAATACTTAACTAAGTATTCATGGTTTCAGAGCCATGTCATACCATGGAGATAAAAGCAGAAAATGGGGGACATGGAGACATCTAATTTCTTAGGGACAGACTTGAATACTTCCTGAATCACAGCAGAGAAACATGTCAGAGGGAAGAGAACCAGAGAGAGACTCAGCCCACTGGAGGGAACAGTCTGCTTGCATTTGGGCCAGAAATGCATTTGCATTTCTAAGCATCAGAGCATCACTAGGCAAATGCAAAGAAAGCAAAAATACAGTTGAGAATCTGAGAGCCAGGATACATGCAGGAGTGAACATTTCTATTTATGCTTTATGTTACACTTTTTACTTCATTCATCCTCACCTTCATGGATTCATTTCCTCATATTCATGAGAGAAAATAAATTTCCTTTAGTTCAGAATTCCTCAACCTCAGTTCTCTTGACGTTTGAGGTTAGATGATTCTTCATTAATGCTGTTTTGTAAAGTATAGGATCTTAAGTAGCATCCCTGACATTGACCTTGACCCACTGGATGCTGATTGAAATGCCTCCACTTCCAGGTGTGACAACCAAAAATTTCTCCAGGTGTTGCCAAGTGTCACCAATCCCAAGGCTCAGAGGGTAGAATGGCAAAATTGCTACTGGGTAAGAACCACTACTTTAGATACATTATTTCATAAACTATTTCAAATAATAATGTGTTAAGACTAATCAGGGCTATTTGATGTCATTAAGTATAGTTTAAAAAATTTAAAAATGGGGGGGGGCAGTGTTGTGGCACAGTGAGGTAATCTGCTGCCTACAATGCAAGCATCCCATATGGGCACTGGTTCAAGTCCCAGCTGCTCCACTTTCAATCCAGCTCCCTGCTAATGAGCCCAGGAAAAGCAGCAGAAGATGGGCCAAGTACCTGGACCCCTGCCACCCACATGGGAGACCCAGATGTTGTTCCAGGCTCCTGACTTCGGCCTGGCCTACCCCTGGCCATTACAGCCATTTGGGAAGTGAACCAGCAGATAGAAGATACCTCTCTCTCTCTCTCTCTCTCTCTCTCTCTCTAACTCTGCCTTCGAAATAAATAAAACCAATATTATTTTTAAAAAAGGGAAAAAGCTGGCAGTTCAAGTCTGGGATGTTCCACTTCCAATCCAGCTCTCTGCTATGGCCTTAGAAAGCAGTGGAAGATGACCCAAGAGTTTGGGCCCCTGCACCCACATGAAGACCCAGGAGAGGCTCCTGGATTGGTGTAGTCCAGCTCTGGCCATTATGGATATTTGGGGAGAGAACCAGCTGATGGAAGATCTCTCTGGCTCTGTCTCTGTCTCTCTCTCTCTCTGCCTTTCAAATGAAAAACAGATCTTTAAAAAAATGAAAAGGATGCACAGATTTAATCATATTTGGTCAACCTTAGGCACTAAATTTTCACATAAATTTTGAAATGATTCACATTATTTTATACTTGGGTAGGTTGAAAAAAGAAGATTTTAAACTATATTATCAGGGCTGGCGCTGTGGCATAGCAGGTGGAGTGCCGCCTATGGTGCTGGCATCCCATATGGGCTCAGATTGTAATCCCAGCCGCTCCACTTCCAATCCAGCTCTCTGCTGTGGCCTAGGAGGGTGGTGGAGGATGGCCGGGTCCTTGGGTCCCTACACCTTTGTGGGAGACCTGGGGGAAGCTCCTGGCTTCGGATCGGTGCAGCACCAGCCATTGTTGCCAGTTGGGGGAGTGAACCAGCGGATGGAAGACCTCCCTCTCTCTGCCTCTTTTTCTCTCTTTGTGTGGCTCTGACTTTCAGATAAATAAATGGATCTTTTTTAAAAAAACATATTATTTGAATTTTAAAAACTTTTAAATTATGTTTCTATTAAACTGGGTAATACTGTTTAACAAAATTACATAATATGTTTCTATTTGTATCATATGACGAACCTTACTCGGTTGTTAAAACTGTAACCTCATGCATAGGTCAGTTTTCTTTTTGCCCCATTTCAAGCATTACAATTTTATAAGTTATATCTGATTAAGTTATCACTATATAATATGAAAGTTCTTATAAAGTCAGAAAGGAAAGGAAGATTAGTACACATTTAATATACACAAACAAAATAAATTTCTGACAAAGCTTCAAATTCTTACCCTATCTTTAATACCAATTATGGAGTCCATGTATAGAGATATATGTATGAATTAATAAAAATATAACTATACTAGTTGAAGGAAATGTGCATTAAAAACTAGAAGGGACTTTTTTGTATATTCAAAGAGTAAGGGGGGGCAGGGTTGTGGCGTAGCAATAAAGCTGCTGCCTGTGAAGCCAGCATCCCATATGGGCACCCGTTGGAGTCCCAGCTGCTCCACTTCTGATCCAATTTCCTGTTAATAATCTGGGAAAAGCAGTGGGAGGAGGGCCCAAGTACTTGGGCTCCTGCTATCCACATGGGAGACCTGGGGGAAGCTCCTGGCTTCAGCTTGGCTGAGCCCTTGTGATTGTGGCTGTCTGGGAAGTGAACCAAGCGTAGAAGATCTCTCTTCTTTCTCCCTTTCTCTCTGTAGCTCTTTCAAATAAATAAATAGATCTTTAAAAAAGTGTAAGACCAGTGACTTCAATGCCATTGCTAACAAAGAGGTCAGTCAGCACTACCATGGAGGGAGTCCGACGTGTCCTGTATCCATGTAACGTTGTTCTAAAGTCCAGATAAAACCACCAGACCTTGTCCTCACCTGATTTATCTGTAGAGTCTTCAAATTCCACAAGGAAAGAGTACCCGTTATTCCAGATGTGGAGGCAGGTGGCCGGATCATAAGAGATGGTGAGCGGTTTTAAGCCAGGATCGTAGACACTGTCCCTCCACCGGATGTTGATGGGCGACTGCCGATCACCCGCAGGAACGAGGTCCACGCTCTCCCAGAGCGGATGCACTAGGAGAGAGTGGGGCTGAGTGATCGGGTCAGCAAGACCCCGCACTATACCGAGCGTCACACACGAGGCAATCCCACTTAGGGAGAAGCTGTCCAGAAATGGCAACTCAAAGTCTTAGGAATTAGCCGCGCAGGGCCTCGGTCCACTCCCTAAAGCAGAGGTGAAGGCAGGTCAGAGCGCATCGTGCAGAGGCTCAGCATTCTGCTGTCCGTGAAGCCAACAACACATCCCAGGCGGCCACCTAGGTCACCTAAACCTGCGCCATCTGTCCTGTGATGAGGGCAGGGTGCAGGGAGAGCAGTGCACCATGGAAATCAGAGTACTCACAAATGAGCTCTTTCTTCATGGATAATTTCCCGAGACCAGGCTGCCCCAAACTAGCTCTGAAGACAAAGACCAAGTCACTGACTTGGCATGAACAGACTGGCGACAAAGGGAATGAGGGAAGGGTTTTGGGGAAGCAAACCTTCAGGCAAGCACAGCACTGGGGCTTTCTGGTTGGTTGGCCTGGAGAAGTCAAGGCTGGCACGGCGGCCTCCCGCACTGGGCTCAGCCCACATCAGCGTGCACGCTGGGCTCCCCTCCTGTGGAGATCACCTCTGAGGACCAGATGGCCACCCTGCCAAACCTGGGGACAACATTAGCCCTGCTCTGGACTCCACAGTCTGTCACCAAATGTGGACGTATCTAGTGAGGTGGAATCGTACAACTCTTCCTACACACAGACAACATCCCACAACTGATTGTCTCCTGCAAACACCAGGTCTCCAAGGCAAGTCCCTGAAAAGTACCAGCGGCTGCCTTGCCACGCCAGACAGGCCTGCAGAGACATCTGTGTGTGATGAACACAACACTGAACACACCATGGATGTGCAGAATCAAGACCAACAGGAAAACCAGGAGAAACGTGAAAGGACAGAAAACACTACCAACAATCCCCTGCTCCTCACCCCACTGCTGAGAACCAGTTGTGTGTGGGTTGGGCCAAAGTATGGTTGGGTCATCCTCCTGTTTCCATAAAAACATAGAAATGCCTCTGGTTTACTCTTACAGAGAAGACATTCCTCTTCTCTCAGTATTGTCCCAAACTGGAAGTCAAGAGCTTAGGCTTGGTTTTGTTTTGCTTTTGCACCACTGTGGACATCAAGCTCTCTCTGAAAACATCTAGATGAGTGGTTCTCAACAGAGGGAGCACTTCAGCCCCACTAAGGTCATTTGGCAATGTCTGCGGGCATTTTGTATCCGGAACTGAGAGAGGGTAACACTGACATCTAGTGGATAGAGGCCAGGGCTCTTAGTCAACCCCTGGAATGCACAGCATGGGCAGTTCCTACAAGAGTTATCCTGCCTCAAGTGTCAATAGTGTCCAGTTGAGAGGTTCTGGTCCGGAACTAAAAGCTATAGGCGAACTCACAGATTTTTTCTCTATACCATAGTACTCTGATCTCTGGAGAGGTTTGGACCTTATGGGTTGTTTTGTTTTGTTTTTCCTTTAGTGTACAAGGACAGGAACTTACTTTATAGAAGAACTTTCTGTTTCAGAAATCTAAAATGGAAAATGCATATAAACTGACATAATACCATCAGATTATAATCCATTAGAATGAAAAGTCCTTGTGGGCGGAGCCATATCTTCCTCCTGTTTTTGTTGCCTGTAGTGCCTTATTAAATATATGCCCTTTGAGTACTGATTATCCAACTGCTATTTTGGGGCAGGTGAAAGCTATATTTGACTCCAATTTTGCTAATTTTTAAATTTCTAGAAAACCCTAGAACAGCCCTAATTCAGTTTCAAAGACACCTGGTTCAAGAGCAGTACATCGTCCCCTCTGAGGTACTCAGACTATGGCTAATGGGTGTCCCATGAAGACTAGGGGAGAACTGGAATAATGATCAGGTCCTTAAGACAATGCTCTTACTCACCCTTGTTTTCTACTTCATTCATGTGATAGAATGTATCAAGTCTCACAACCATGCAAATGACCACCCAAGAAAATCGGACCTATTCCTTCAGTGGATCTTTTATGACCATAATGCTACTACCAATTACCAGTTCTACTTCCGGAAGTTTCCCTTTCCTCCTACCCATCTCTCCTTTATTAACCCAGACCATCCTCCGACTGCAGGGAGGGCCTTGGTCACTGTCCCCTTAATGAAGCCAGCTTTCTGCCAAGGCCTGTTCTGGCACTCAGCAGTTTTCCCAATTACCTACCTTCATATTGTACCTGCCTGTCCATCAAGTTGTAACTTCTGTGTCCAAGTGCTTAGGTCTTCCTGTTTGAACCCACCTCACTTAACTTAGTCCCCTTTCTCCTCCTTCTCCCCAAATGTTGGCTTCTCATGCTACTTTTCAGGTCATGCTACTCCCTTTGGCTTGCCATTCCCTTGTCATGCTACTGCTCCGTCGTGCTATTCTTACAATTGTCCCCACCTATACAGGCTTATCTCCACTTTTGCTATGCTAAAATACTCTTCATTCTCCTTACCATTAACAGAAATTTCTTCCATTTCTAGGCTTATCTTCATGTTGATATTTTCTCCAATCACGCTGATGTTTGCTTTTCCTAAACACACAGCATAGCTTCTCATATCATTCAACACTCAACCATTCCTTATGTAATGTGTTTGCTTTATTTGCTCAAAGAGTTTGTGTCCTGCACTTTTTCTATGGCCTCCAGGCTTAAACTTGGTTCCTTGCCCAGAGGAAGCCAGATCAGTCAATACCAAGGCTCCCTACCCTTAGGTCATCATCTCTCTGCCAGGAAACCTGGTTTATTTCAAACACTTCCTAGGTTCAGGATAATATCTGCCTGTTTCTTTAAATTTCTACTAGGCTCTCAAGGTCAGAGAGTTCAAGTCCCTTCCCTGACAATCCCAACTCTATAAAGCATCCCTTCATCAGCTCTTATGCCTCAGTACTCACTTTCTCTGTATCTGTGTTTTCTCATATGATTGGCATTCACCCTGTGAGGCTAGTCTAAATTAGATGTGCTATACTTGTAGGATGCTTGGGAGTCTGAAGACTTAGTACAAAATAAACAATGTGTAAAAGTTCATTTGCAATTCTTAGATTCTTTTCAAATTAAAGTGAAAATATTGATGTGGAATGAATAGGCAGGAAATTAGTTTAGGATTGCTGAGCAGGAAGTTAGAAGCCCCATGTGTAATTCTATCCTCCTATATGTCAATCAAAATGCCCCCTTTTCTGGGATGCATCTGCTTCATCTGGAACCATGAAAATATGGATGTTGAGCTCCACATGTAACTTGTGGAGGTGCCATATGATTTCCAGGTGGCTTCACGCCTGGAGAGGCACTGCCCCAACTTCATAAAGGAGGCCAACTGGGAGGTGCTCTCTGTCTCTCTCCTGCTGCAGACAAAGGCTACAGGAGCTGCCAGGTATTCTTTCTGTCTTTCCTCCCCACCCATTCTCCTTTAAGGCAAATCCTCTGGCCCTCTGCCCACTCACCATGGGTATTTCTCTGTATGGGGCAACACATACTTGCTTTGGTGTGTGTGTGTGTGTGTGTGTGTGTGTGTGTGGTATGTGTTTGCTTTCTCATCTTTTGAATAAAATTTACATTATATATGTCAGTACTTAGAATTCTTGTCTTTGTGCATTGACAAGAGCCTGGAGTAAAAAGAAGTTAATACCCCACTCACCCACATCAATATTTTGGATAAATTTGGCTAAATAAAATGTATTAATAAAATTAATTTTATCTGCTTATTTGTACTTCTAAAAGTATGGTTATTAGAAAATATAGAATTACCTATGTGGCTAACATTACTTATCTACTAGATAGCATTGCTCTATTCCCTTATTTGCTTCGTTTTTCTTGGGATGTGTTATTTCCTCACATAATTGAAGGCCATCTTTTCAGGCCTGGACCTTTGTACAGTGTCACCATACACAGGACCCTCCACAAGACTTAGGTGAGGATGCCACAGAATCACAAACTGCCCTGTTAGAGCATCAGGGTTGGAAAAGGCACTTTGATGGGGAGTCCATTAATCTCAGGATGCACAGGCAGTTACCAGCACGGGAGACTAAAGCCCACATTTCCTGCTCAGTTCCAGGGCTATCTGTCAGTCCCAGGCAGCTGAAGATAACCCTGAGTCCATTCTGCAATCCTGAGTGGCTCTCAGTGGGCTCATTGTTCCTCAAGGTGATTCGAATGTTAATAAAAGATAGTCTGGGCTATTCTAAGTCTCTCAATCTGAGGATTATCAGAGTTGTTTGTGGAAACACCGCAAAACAAGTTTTTAATATTATCAATCTCCAGGCTTTATTTGTGTTCACTAGAGAAATAGTAGAACTTTCTTTTTTTTTTTTTTTTTTTTTTTGACAGTCAGAATTAGACAGTGAGAGAGAGAGAGACAGAGAAAGGTCTCAAATGGCCAGTACGGCTGGCGCACTGCACTGATCCGAAGCCAGGAGCCAGGTGCTTCCTCCTGGTCTCCCATGCGGGTGTAGGGCCCAAGCACTTGGGCCATCTTCCACTGCCTTCCCGGGCCACAGCAGAGAGCTGGACTGGAAGAGGAGCAACCAGGACACAATCCGGCACCCTGACCGGGACTAGAACCTGGGGTGCCGGCGCCGCAAGCAGAGGATTAGCCAAATGAGCCGCAGCGTCAGCCAGAAGAACTTTCTAATACAGTTCACTTATACTATAGGTCAGTGATGTCAAATAGGAACTTTCTCTGATGATGGAAATGTCCCGTATGGTAAGTGCTAGACACACGTAGCTGACACATTTTTAGGAACTTAAATATACATGTAAATACTCACATGGGGCTAGCGGCTACATTTTGTACAGTGCCTTTTTAGTCCAAGTTATTGTAAAATGCTTCCTTTCCTTCTAAAAGTGGGAAATCATGAACATTAAGAATCACTGGAATAATAATAAATCTTGTACTATTTCTATTCTAGATGATACTCTTTATATTTCACTAAAGCAAGAGTTATTAAATTTACTTTCCTAGGTCTATAATCGAATGCCTAAATTTATTTAATGTGACAAACAGGTTAAATTTCATTAGATGATACCCTGAGTGAAACTGATTTTATTTCTGTCTTAACAGGTACATAGCCTACAAGTTCCCAAAATGAAAACTGTCAAGAGTTACTGACAGTTACTGCTTTTTGAGATAACAACGAACAGCAATTTGAGTTGACAGCCAATGAGTCCCAACTGAGAGAGGAAGAAAAGTAGAGTGACAAGCCCAGAGCTCAGGAATGTCTGGTAATGCTGTTTTCTGAATTTGCCACAACCACTGAGTTCACTGACTCCTTATCCTGCTTCACCTTATCTTAAAATAATCAAATGTCAACATCGGGCACTGAGCCTATGAAGACGAAGATAATGATGATGATGACAACAATGACAGCGACTGCAATACCTGAAGTAGCTGCCAACCAATACTGAGTATCTAACCCTCAACAATCTTGGGTCATTCTTGGTCACAAGTGTACACCAGGCCATCCACTGGAGTCCTGAGAGGTCAAAAACAGTAAGTACTGTCGTACAAGTGTACCGATGTGGCTCCAAAATACAGGACATGCCCAGGGGCGCAGGGCAGCAAAGACCATAATACCTCCTGGGTAAAAACAGGTCAGGACAGTGTAAAATACCAAAAGCCAAACCAAAGAGGGACTGGGCCCTGTTTTCCCTAGTAATTACAAACAAAAACTTGTTCTATGATGTGGGAAATTAATTAAGTGAAGTTGCCACCTCCTCAAACCACTAGTGTTTGGTTTTTGTTAACATTAAAAGGAGTAAACTATCCTAAAAGCATAAGCATACAGACATTTAGACAGTTAATTTCAATTCTCTGTTGAAAATTTAAAATAGCAAAACATCAGCAAGTAGGCAAATATGACTAATATTTTCCGTTTTCAGCCTTAGACCGCAAAATGCCAGCGTTTAGAATGAATCAGTCTGGGTAGGATGTGGCCGTGATCATAGGAAGCCACACCCAGCAACCAGAAATTTATTATGACTCCGGCCAGTTTATGTGAATAATGAGAACACAGTCAAGGTCGAAAGAAAGAAACCAAGTTTACAATAAAAACATATTTATGGAGTTGTTCTAAGCCCTTGGATTTAGGTAGATTAGCATTAGTAATTTACAAACCTATTCTTACCCATTCTTTTTATTATGTGCATATGGTGGTCAAAGAAAATAAACACCAGTGAAAGTAAACATATCAAAAGCCAACATTTGCAAACTCTGTCAATTTCTTTTAAATAATGGAAAACATGAAAAACCCCGCTTTCAATAATATACTTAGCCACTTCATCACTCTATAAATTCAAACTCATTTCTCCATAATACAGACATTATCTTCTCCTGTCATTACACTGCTTCTTAACCAGGGGCCAGTTTTGTCCCCATACAGCTTATCTGACAATGTTTGTAGACATTTCTGATTGTTAGAAGTGGGTGGGGATGCTATTGGCATCTACTGGGTAGAGGCAAGGGATACTGTTAACTACCCTACAGGCCAGTCCCCGACAGCACAGAATGACCCATTCCCAATGTCAGTAGTGCTGCGGTAGAGAATCCCTGCCACATCCAGAGGTAGACAGTTTTCTTTCCAGGAGGGGAACAAGATTCAAGAGGTTTAAGGGAAGACCATCTACTGCTTTACTTGATTTTTTGTGTTTTCAGCACAGTGTGCACTTGCAAGCTGGTCAGCTAGAATGGACTCTGCAATTCCTAAACTTGGGACAGAATATTCTGGAATGTGAAGTCACTGAACTGTTTGCAGACATTAATATGTAACTTCCAGAAACTTAAGGTTCACAGAAAGTTTGCAGTCAGTGGAATTAACCCTAGTTAAAAGACAAATGCTAACATGAAACAGTGAAGAATAGGTTCCAAAACATTTGGATCTGGGCCATCTTCCTTGCCCAGTTTCTGTAGCATACCATTTTAACATTCTCAAATTGGCCAAGTAAGAATTTTCCATGTTTATTTTAATGGATCAATAGAGAGATGATTCGTTATTTTCACAGTTCTTGAGGTATAGAAGCCCACCCTGCAACATCAATGATACCATAGCTACAAATGCTTGACTCCTGTGATTATTATGAAACCAGCAAGCCTTTTTGCCCTTTAAGCAAAAGGAGTACTCACAGGTTCGGTTCCGGGATTTGTACGTGCAGGTGTAGAGGCTGCAGGGCCTCACTGGCAGGAGCCCAGGTAACTGGAACCTTCTCTTCAACAATTTGCATGGAGCCACTTGAAGAATGACCCTCAGGCTATTCATCACCACCATCTTTAGCTTGAAACCTCGATCAGTTCCCAAATAATTTGCAGAAACCTAATGACACGGAGGGAAGAGGACAGAAGAGAAAAAAGCTGTAAACAACAGAGATTGAAGATCCTGTGGAAACGTCCAAGTAGGACAACATTCAGACTGGCAGTGCACACCCTAATGTGGGGGGAGGGCAAATGAGTCAACAGTCTGTTCACTCTTGTTGCTCAAATTCATAGGTCCTCTCCGTGGAAGGCAGGGTCAGGACAACTGACTCATGGGCTTTGCATTTCCCCCAAGGTTGTCAAATATTAGAGATCCAGAGAAAAGATTCCTATTACTCACATGAATGAAAATACTATTTACAGGTCACTTTCTTAAAATTAAAAAGAACATGTATTCCTTGCAATCCCAATTATCCATCATGGTTACTTAAAAATTATTTTTACAAATTTATTTGAAAGGCAGAGAGAATGAGGAGAGAGACACACAGACACAGAGAGATCGATCTGCTGGTTTATTCCACAAATGCCCACATCAGCCAGAGATGGGCCTGGCATTCAATTCAGGTGTCCCGTGGTGGGTGGCAGTGGTCCAACTACTTGAGCTGTTATCACTTGCTGCCTCCCAGGGTGCCAATAGCAGGAAGCAGGAATTGGGAGAAGAACTGGGACTTGAGCTTAGGCACCCCAGTAGGGGGGTGTGGGCATTCCAAGTAGCATTCTAACTGCTACACCGAACACCTGCTCCCAGCATGGTTTTTAAAGGTAAGAAGGATGTAAAGATGAAAGCTTACTCCAGGAAGCCTGAAAAAAACAAAAACAAAATAATCCTTTGCATCTGGATTGCTAAGAAAAATCCCAGATACATCCTGCCAAAATAGCCATGGGCAATTTTGAAATCTCAGTTAAAATACAATCTGTGGCGCAGGAGTCCCAGGTGCTCCATTTCCCATCCAGCTCTCTGCTGTGGCCTGGGAAAGCAGTAGAAGTTGGCCCAAGTGCTTGGGCTCCTGCACCCACGTGGGAGACCCAGAAGAAGCTTCTGGCTCCTGGCTTTGGATCATCCCAGCTCCGGCCGTTGCTGACCTCTGAGGAGTGGACTAGCAGTTGGAAGACTTTCTCTCTCTCTCTCTCTCTCTCTCTCTCTCTCTCTCTCTCTCTCTCCCTCTGTAGCTCTACCTCTCAAATAAATAAATAAATCTTTAAAAAATACAATCTGTGGGGCCAGCACTGTGGCATAGCAGGTAAAGCCGCCGCCTGCAGTGCTGGCATCCCATATGGGCACCAGTTTGAGACCGGACTGCTCCACTTCCGAACCAGCTCTCTGTGATGGCCTGGGAAAGCAGTGGAAGATGGCCCAGGTCCTTGGGCCCCTGAGCCCATGTGGGAGGCCCGGAAGAAGCTCCTGGCTTCAGATCAGCCGTTGCAGCCATCTGGGGAGTGAACCAACAGATGGAATACCTCTCTCTCTCTCTCTCTCTCTCTCTCTCTCTCTGCCTCTCCTTCTCTCTCTGTGTAACTCTTTCAAATAAATAAATCAATCCTTTAAAAAATACAATCTGTGACTCATTCAGTTTTTGCTGTAACCTGATGGTCCTCAAACATGGGAAAAATGGACGAGGTTAATTTTGAACTCTCCCTCTCTAGCTCTCATAAGTTCATAGTGAGAATGTCAGAAGGCAATGCTTTCCAATGTATCCACAATTGCTGTTCTGAAAGCACAGCCATAGTAACTTTGAACACTAATACTAACTTTGACCACCTTTCCTAATAATTCCTATCCTGGTACCAACTGACAAACAAGTTCTGAAATTTATATATATATATATATATTTTTTTTTTTCCTTGATTACACATTCATTCCACTGTAGACTTTGAAGCATTTAGTGTGATTACTTGAGATTCTGTTTGGGACACCGTTTGAGCAACCATGACTATGTGGCTGCTAGGCTGGGTTCCATGGCACTACTGAGCTCATAGTCTCAAGTCCATTTGTGCACCTGCCTGCCCCCAGCCCTGTGGGTTTTCGATCTTCTACTTCTGCCACTGCCTCTAGCCTGTGCAAATGCTCTTCCTTCCCTGGTTCATTCCTACCCAGCCCTCAGGGACTAACTCCAGTGTCACTGCTCAAAGTTTGCTCTGACCATGCATTCACCAGGTCAAGCCAGCACCCTCTTCATAGGTATGGTGTTTTTCTTGGGTGAATTAAGGACTGATTGGGAGTGTGCTTTATGACTGTATCCCTGTTAGCTTACAAGTCCCATGGTGGGAGGGACTGCATCGGTCTCAGTCTTAGCTGCGTGTCTTAGGAACACGATGGGTGTTGAAGGAATACTACCTGAATGTCCTGAGTGGCTTCCCTGGTGATAGAGAAGATACTGATGCTAATTTCAAGAATCAGGACCTGTGATGTGGCTGCCAGCATGATCTGGCCTAGTATTAAGGGCTTTTTGTCTTTTTAGATGCAACCATCACCCATTTGTAGTGATTTTTTTATACATTTAAAACATTTTCAATAGTTGTCCTTTAAGAGGAGTGTCTCACATGCCTACCTTATAACATCTGAAGGACCCACAAAGTCCTGCCAGATCTAAAGGAGGAACTTACTTGACGATGACCCTAACTTAGTCTCACAGGAGAGAATTTTGCCAGTAAGCATTTTCAACACTTAGAGATTTTTCCTTTGTTCTAGGTGCTGTGTTGAGTGCTGTGATGCAAAGATGACCAAGGTCATAGAAAGAAATGAGGGGCCGGCGCTGTAGTGTAGCAGGTAAAGACATCACCTGCAGTGTCAGCATCCCACATGGGCACCGGTTCGTATCCCAGGTGCTCCACTTCCAATCCAGCTCTCTGCTATGGCCTGGGAGAGCAGTGGAAGATGGCCCAAGTCCTTGGGCCCCTGCACCCACGTGGGAGACCAGGAAGAAGCTCCTGGCTCCTGGCTTCAGATTGGCTCAGCTCCAGCCGTTGCAGCCAAGTGGGGAGTGAACCAGGGGATGGAAGACACCTCTCTCTCTCTCTCTCTCTCTCTCTCTCTCTCTCTGCCTCTCTGCCTCTCTCTGTGGAACTCTGACTTTCAAATAAATAAATAAATCTTTAAAAAAAAAGAAATGAAGTCCTGGTGTATGCCATAGCATAGAGGAACCATGAAAACATGGTGCTAAGTGTAAGAAGCCACATACAGAGGTCATGTATGAATTTCTGGTATCATGATCACTACTGACTAAACAAGAAAAGAGAATATGCTATCATCATCTATTTTTGCTGAATAAAAGAGATTAGAAAGAGGGGCTGTTTCCCAGCTGTTCCACTTCTGATCAGCTCCCAGCTAATGGCCTGGGAAAGCAGCAGAAAATGGTCCAAGTGCTTGGGCCCCTGCCACCCATGTGGGAGACCTGGAGGAAGCTTCAGTCTAGCCCAGCCCTAGATGTTGCAGCCATCTGGGGAGTGGACCAGGGGATAAAATATTTCTCTGTTTCTTTCTTTGTCTCTCTGTAACTCTGACTTTCAAATAAATAAGCAAATCGTTAAAAAAAAAAAGTTGCGGTGAAAAAATCTGCTTTTAAAAGAAATGGAGGGGCATCCCATATGGGCACTGGGTTCTAGTCCCGGCTGCTCCTCTTCCAGTCCAGCTCTCTGCTGTGGCCCAGAAGGGCAGTGGAGGATGGCCTAAGTGCTTGGGCCCTGCACCCGCATGGGAGACCAGGAAGAGGCTCCTGGCTCCTTGCTTCAGATCAGCACAGCGCTGGCCGTAGCAGCCACTTGGAGAGTGAACCAGTGGAAGGAAGACCTTTCTCTCTGTCTCTCTCTCTCATTGTCTATAACTCTACCTGTCAAAAAAAATGGACAGATTGATATATTTACCTCAATGGGATGTTATGCATGTGATGTATCAAAACATCACATGGTACCCCATAAATATGTACAATTTCTATGTGTCTGTTGAAAAGTTGTCAATATATATATTTATTTATTAAAGGAAATGGCTTTGTTTCCACCCTTCTATCTCAAAGGGAATCTATGCTTAAAGCTTAAATGCTAAGATAAATGGAAGACACTTGGATTTATGAACTCATGAAATGCGCATTTTCTGTTGAGTCTCCAGTGTTTTGAATATTGTAAAATCTTGCTCAGCATGGATGACTATCAGAAAGTAATCAAAATCCACCTACAAGTTACAACTGACAAATTGGGGGGTTATTATAAAGTAAAATGTACCGCTTTGGAAAACAATCAAATACATTAAATACTCAGAATTGAGAAATTAGGCCAGAAAGCAGAGGTGTGGCTGCTTGAGGTTGAGGTAAAGGGGAAGCAGAAGTGACTACTTAGTGTGGGGGGTTTCTTTTTGGGGTGATGAAAATGCTTTGGAACTAAATAGAGGTGGAGGTTACACAATATATGCCACTGAATCATACACTAAAAAGATTAATTTTATTTTATGGGAATTTTACCTCATCAATGTTTATATTAAAAAAAAAAAAAGACCACGTACCAGTTCACAGCATGGTACCCATGCTGCCCCAGACTCTGCCTTCTGCTATCAAAAGGACAGCTTTCAGCAGTTTGCTCTTGACTGGGGGTGGATGGATGGGGGAGACAAAGGCACAAAAGGAGAAAACGAGGGGGCACTATAGACATATTTCACTTGCACACTTGATGTTTATTTCTTCAAAGAAACTTTCCAGTAATAGTGTGTGACACAAAAAACAACCATGACCACTAGCAATGCAGGGCAAGGAGGCAAACTGATTTTCTCCTCCCCTCTTCACACACATGCTTACTATGAATTAGCTGGGAACTAGCTCTTCTCTGTACTGCTGTCCTTGACCTAGCTACATCTAAGCCAGAGGGGACAAGGCTACACCTAATTTAAAGGAGAAATAATCACACCTGACAAGCAGTGTCCAACGGCCAAGGAAAACAAGAAGCAGAGCTACTTCCTATCACTATGGTTCACTGAGGGCTCCAGGCAGAACTCTTTAACTGGCTATCAATAAGCCATCTGCCTAGACAAGCATTGTGTGAGACTTTGGGCCTGGTTCACTTTGTGTAGTAGGCATC